ATTTATGATGAGATTATGGCAACCATTGAAGATCTTTAACAACACATACACTTCTTAATACACTTCATTGAANATGAGAAATTTAGGATACATATATATATATAATTTAGGATACATATATATATATAGGATATATAAATTTAGGATACATATATATATATATACATACATACATATATATATATATAAATAAAATTTAAATACTTGTAAATCTTATGTAGGCCTGCTATCGTTTTAAAACCACAATGAGAAATTTACAAAAGCTGACAGAGGCATTTTCTCGAATGGCTTCTAAAATAGTTTATTTATTTATTTATTTATTTATTTATTTATTTATTTATTTATTTATTTATTTATTTATTAACAAATAACAATTACACAGGATTGATTTTAGCCTGTGCATGTTACATAATTGCTCCAGGAGATGGCGACAAGTGACTGTTGTTGCTGTATCAGTCTCTTCCTCCACTGACGGTAAACTTTTTTATTTTTTATTGAGTGCTTGAAAAACAATAACAACAAATGTCATGAATCAAACAGCAACAATCCAGGGGTTTTTAGTCATTTAGTCCAAGATAAGTGCCAAGTCCTTAATCAAAGTCCTCGTTCGTATTGCTTTTAAGTTGGTTGATCCTTCAATACACTCAAAATACATTTTCATTTCAATTTTAAATTTAGGGAAAAAAGGTTTACACTTGCAAAACTTGCTCTTGTGAATATGAAATTTGGCCAACAAGAAAACAAGGTTCATGAAATAGGTATTATTTTCCTTTTCACAATCATGGAAACCAAAGATAACATTATTATATGTAAATTCAAAATCTGCCTTCACATAAACTTTTATAAAATCAAGAACATCACACCAAAATGACATTGAAAGAGGGCAAGTCCAAAATAAATGAACAGATGTCTCAGGATTCACTAAGCAAAATGAACAGTTGGTGTTAATATCATTCTTAAGTCTTTTAAGATTACACTTGTCTGGATAGCATCTATGAATCAGTTTAAAGGTAACTTATCTTATTTTGTTTGTTATAAAAAAATTGTGGGGTAATGCACTGACGGTAAACTAGAGGGAAAACAGCTGCGGATTTTTGGGCATGCGCACATCAAATGTAGAGTAAATTTTGTGACGCTGCACAATAATCACTATTTTTGTTACTGTGAGGGAAGATTTAGGGTTGGGTAAGTGTAGACGTTCATAAAATACGTATTCAAAGGTAAATTTCCTAAATAAATAATTCCCGTTAACTTGTAGCTAAGCTAAAGAAGAATAAAAAAAGTGTCCATGTGTCTTGAGGGCTTTTTGGGTGTGTTTAGGAAAATAATATAATAATAAGTATTTGAAGCACTTTCTTTTACAACATTATTATATGTATAATTGAATTTATAACCCGGCAGATGAAGAAGAATGTACTCAAAAAGAGATTGTCATTGCAATCTAGTACATTTATTTAAATTCATGTTTATTTCTGTAGCGCTTTTACAATGCCAATTGTGTCAAAGCAGCTTAACATAGAAGATCTACTAAATTGAAACTGTCAGTCCAGTTTTCAGAGTTGAGGTTTATAGTTCAGTTTAGTGTGGTTTAATTGTCACTGCTGAAAGCCCAAACACTGAAGAGTAAATCCATTGATGTGAAGCTCCTCAAGTCCTAAACTGTGGGGACGTCCATTGTTTTGTGTTTCGTTGGACTGCAGTGAAATACAGTTTAGTATTTAAAAGGGAAATTTAAACTGAAATGTTTTCTCACCTTTAAACATGCTAAACTATCTTTAGTGTTTAAAACTCACACTTTAAACTGCAAATGTAGCTGTTTATTTTACCAGAGGACATATAGGACATATGACCTCACATTTGTCCTATAGTTACAGTTTCTAAGTGAAGTGTGAAGATCTAATCGAATTTCTGTCTGCTCATAGTGGGCATTTGACCACAAGTCAAGCTGGCTCTTTTTCTTTTGCATTGTTATTACTCCTACAGGTCAAAACATAGAGTATATTTAAACTTATATTTAAATAAATCATTTAGATACATGTAAATATATCAATGATAAATATATTAAGTAAATACAAAGCTATTTATAATGCTCCACAACACACATCACAGAATTTAAACTACATCACAGTCATTAGGGAATATTTTTATCTGATTTAAATTGTATGTACTGATCAGATGAAGTAAACATAAAAGCAATTCGTACATCATTTTCATTTGAGCAGCTCTTTAAATGGTTTTACATAGCATGAATTTAACAATGTAAGTGTGGCGTTAAACAATAACAATTACTTAGAAATGCCTGTAAATAAACTGTCTTTGGTTGACAGGAGGCAGAGAGGTGCGCTTAAAGGGATGGTGCACCCCAAAATCAAAATTCACCCACTGTTTATTATTTACTTTTATGTTAACAGGAGAAGAATGTCTTCACTCACAATGAACATACATTGTATTATCTGGACCTTCATCTTTTCCTCCCTCATTAAATTCCAAGCAAGGCAGACCGGTTTGCATTTTAATAAAATAACAAAGATCCTCTTCTCTTGAAATGTAGCTGTCTATAGGAAACAGGGCCTCTGATTCTAATGCAACAGCTGTTGGTTTAGTGGTTTATTAGCATGTTCTGTTCACTGTAGTTATGGGGCCCTGTGTAGGAAACATTTACACTAAACCCCTTCCTCATTTCCAAACCAAGAAGTTAAACTTAGTACACTGAAGAGCTGACTTGACGCAAATGTACGCATAATGTGTTGTTTCCACTTATCATTTCATGCCTTTTATTTTTGGTCTC